AGATCAAGTTTGTTCAAATTAATGACCTTAACCAACTTTCAAGGTCACAGGGGTCAAATATGTTAAAATCTTCAAACAACTTCTTCTCAATAACCAAAAGGCCCTGGGTACTGATATTGGGCCTGTAGCATGCTGGGATGAAGGGCTACCAAGTTTGTTCAAATGAATGACCTTGACCCACTTTCAAGGTCACTGGTGTCAGATGTCTTAAAATCTTCAAACCACTTCTCCTCAATAACCAAAAGGTCCAGGTTACTGAAATTGGGCCTTTAGCAAGCTGGGATGAAGGACTACCAAGTTTGTTAAAATGAATGACCTTGACCCACTTTCAACCTTATGTCCTTGTTCGACATTCAAGGTCACAGGCGTCATATGTTTAAATCTTTTAATAGGTTCTTATGAATCAAACACTGATATTCTGCCTGTACCTGTATTTTAGTCCACTTTTAAGATTACAAGTGTGAGATTAATACCAGGTGAGCGATGCAGGCCCATTGGGCCTCTTGTTTTCATTAGTTTCTAGGTGATGCAGAAAACCTCCCTTCTAGAGTTATACTGTATAATTTCTTAAAATTGATTTCTCGTAATTCCTGTTCTTTCTTTAAAAGTAATTGTTCATTGGCAAAAAAAAAGTCTAGATTGTTTTACTCTTTTGTTGTTAAACTGCTTACATAATGCTGATTTATTTCATTGACAAATGTTTTTCTTTCAAACACAGGTTGCAGAAGTTCAAAATGACCATTGCCAACACTGTGATCAGCCAGGAGAACTCCAGCCTACAGACTATGGGCACAGACCAGTTGTTAGACCTCTTCTCTTTGGATGACAAGAAGAAGGGTCAAAGTTCAACAGGATCCAGCCAATCAGAAGGTGTCTCTTCGAAAAAGGAAACAGTTTCCTCCATGTTGGAGAACCTGGGTGATCTTTGGGACGAGGATCAGTATAACTCGGAATATGACATGAAAAACTTCCTTGAATCCTTAGGAACATAAGGAGGCACTTATAAGATGGAGGAGTTTATTGTGATCAATATGGAATCCAGATATACGGGCTGATCCAGTGGGGCCTCCAGATAGTACCAACGGTAGATATACAGGCTGATCCAGTGGGGCCTCCAGATAGCACCATCGGTTGCCCATGTTTATGTTGATGAAGAAGTTTCAGAGAAATTTTGGCAGTTGAACTCTTCACAAAAGAAGGTGTATTTGTTACATAAGGGGATACAATGTAAGGTCAGAACATTGTCTGTTTACAATCATCTGACTGCATTAATCATGTAAAGGGTACATGCTAGTGTTTTATATTTGGGTCACTGAGAGGACAGAGAGGAGGATATATGAATGATAGTTTCTGTTTGTGAATTAAGAGTCAATTCTTACTATATTTTACTGTAGTTAACCCCTATTAGTTCAAAGTGCAGTTGCTACAAGTATGAGGATTATATCTGCGTGTAGGGTCAACTTCTGGTTATAAGCTAGTCAGCAAAACTTTGCTGATTGATCAGGAGGAAATGTTTTAAGCATAAGAAAGCTTCGACATCAAATGTGTTGTTTTCTTCCCTTTAGACACCACATAGATCTGCCTTGATACAATGGGTTGGGGGGATAGCCAAAGTTCTGAGTTGGTTCTCTTTATTATTTTATTGATAAAAACCCTGCAATAAAATGGGATTTAAAATTCACCCACACCACACAAATTGTTGACATAATATGAGAACAAGGAAATAACTCCTATTACATGTACACATTACTCCTAGTTACTACACACCCTGAAACGCGCTGGAATTGTACACATTCCTCTTAGTTACCACACACCCTGAAATGCGCTGGTAATGTACACATTACTCTTCGTTAATACTTACCCTGAAACGTGCTTGAAATGAGTTCAGTGCTTGAAAAGAATTGTTTTGTACCTTAGAAAAGTGCTAGAATGTATGAACAGTGCATGGTTACATGTACAAAGTTTACCTGTACAAAGTTTACCGGTACAGGATATGGCTACCTGTACAAAGTTTACCTGTACACTACATGGCTACACACATTACTCTTAGTTATTGCAATAAAATGGGATTTAAAATTCACCCACACCACACAAATTGTTGACATAATATGAGAACAAGGAAATAACTCCTATTACATGTACACATTACTCCTAGTTACTACACCCCCTGAAACGCGCTGGAAATGTACACATTTCTCTTAGTTACTACACACCATGAAACGTTCTGGAATTGTACACATTACTCTTAGTGACCACACACCCTGAAATACGCTGGAAATGTACACATTACTCCTAGTTACTACACCCCCTGAAACGCGCTGGAAATGTATACATTACTCTTAGTTACCACACACCCTGAAACGCGCTTGAAATGTACACATTACTATTAGTTAATAATTAAAATGAAAAGTGATTGAAATGAGTTAAGTGATTGAAAAGAATTGTTTTGTACCTTATTTTATTGATAAAAACCCTGCAATAAAATGGGATTTAAAATTCACCCACACCACACAAATTGTTGACATAATATGAGAACAAGGAAATAACTCCTATTACATGTACACATTACTCTTAGTGACCACACACCCTGAAATACGCTGGAAATGTACACACTACTCTTCGTTACTACAAACCCTGAAACGCGCTGGAAATGTCCACATTCCTCTTAGTTACTACACACCATGAAACGTGCTGGAAATGTACAAATTACTCTTAGTTACTACCCTCCCTGAAACGTGCTGGACATGTACACATTACTCCTAGTTACTACACTCCCTGAAACGCGCTGGAATTGTACACATTACTCTTAGTTAACACACACCCTGAAATGCGCTGGAACTGTACACATTACTCTTAGTTATTGCAATAAAATGGGATTTAAAATTCACCCACACCACACAAATTGTTGACATAATATGAGAACAAGGAAATAACTCCTATTACATGTACACATTACTCCTAGTTACTACACACCCTGAAAAGTGCTGGAAATGTACACTTTACTCTTAGTTAATACACACCCTGAAACGTTCTGGAATTGTACACATTTCTCTTAGTTACTACACACCCTGGAACGCGCTGGAAATGTACACATTCCTCTTAGTTACCACACACCCTGAAACGTGCTGGCAATGTACACATTACTCTGAGTTACTACACACCCTGGAACGCGCTGGAAATGTACACATTCCTCTTAGTTACTACACACCATGAAACGTGCTGGAAATGTACAAATTACTCTTAGTTACTACACCCCCTGAAACGCGCTGGAATTGTACACATTTCTCTTAGTTACTACACACGCTGAAACGTGCTGGAAACGTACACATTACTCTTAGTGACCACACACCCTGAAATACGCTGGAAATGTACACACTACTCTTCGTTACTACAAACCCTGAAACGCGCTGGAAATGTCCACATTCCTCTTAGTTACTACACACGCTGAAACGTGCTGGAAACGTACACATTACTCTTAGTGACCACACACCCTGAAATGAGCTGGAAATGTACACATTTCTCTTAGTTACTACACACCCTGAAACGTGCTGGAAATGTACACATTACTCTTAGTTAATACTTACCCTGAAACGTGCTTGAAATGAGTTCAGTGCTTGAAAAGAATTGTTTTGTACCTTAGAAAAGTGCTAGAATGTATGAACAGTGCATGGTTACATGTACAAAGTTTACCTGTACAAAGATTACCTGTACAAAGTTTACCTGTACAAAGTTTACATGTACAGTACATGGCTACCTGTACAACGTTTACTTGTAAAGTACATAGCTACCTGTACAAAGATTACCTGTACAGTACATGGCTACCTGTACAATGTTTACCTGTACAGTACATAGCTACCTGTACAAAGATTTCCTGTACAGTACATGGCTTCCTGTACAAAGTTTACCGGTACAGTACATGGCTACCTGTACAAAGTTTACCTGTACACTACATGGCTACCTGTTAAAGGTTACCTGTACAGTACATGGCTACCTGTACAAAGTTTACCTGTACACTACATGGCTACCTGTACATTTATTACCTGCTCAATAATTACCTGCATGTGTATGAAAAAAAATGGTGGCATATTTTATAACAATCAACATATTTTATATTAAATGTACAATACTTACCACTTAATGTCACATGTCAGTTAATATCATGTTTCCCTCATGACCAATGAGAAATGATATTAAACGAATTCTTCTGTATTTGAAATGTAACTGTATTCAGATATTACGTTGGTGTGTTTATCTACATTAGATACATAGATAAGTGTATGTGTGTGTTGATTTACCTGTATGCATTTAAATTGTCCTGTGTGAAATCTTCTCAAGTTTCAGGTGGTTTGCCAGTAGAAGTTACATATATGTGCATTTTGAGACAATTTACTTGTATGTGTTTGCTTACCTGTATGAAACTTGTTATAAAAAACTCAATAATGTTGGATTCATGAAATGCCATTGAGATTATATAATTCCTTTTCACAAGATTTGTTTGAGATTGGAATGTATGGATAATTCAGCATGTAAGTATATAGATCATATGTCATGTATGAGATAAAAATCGTGTGAATTGTAGCCTGATGTTCATGTGACTTGTAGCCTAATGTTCATGTGACATGTAGCCTGATGTTCATGTGACATGTAGCCTAATGTTCATGTGACTTGTAGCCAATTGTTCATGTGACTTGTAGCCTGATGTTCATGTGACTTGTAGCCTGATGTCCATGTGACTTGCAGCATAATGTCCATGTGACTTGTACTCTAATGTCCATGTGACTTGTAGCCTAATGTTCATGTGACCTGTAGCCTGATGTCCATGTGACCTGTAGCCTGATGTTCATGTGACTTGTAGCCTAATGTCCATGAGACTTGTAGCCTGATGTCCATGTGACTTGGAGCATAATGTCCATGTGACTTGTACTCTAATGTTCATGTGACTTGTCGCCTGATGTCCATGTGACTTGTAGCATAATGTCCATGTGACTTGTACTCTAATGTTCATGTGACTTGTCGCCTGATGTCCATGTGACTTGTAGCATAATTTCCATGTGACTTGTACTCTAATGTTCATGTGACTTGTCGCCTGATGTCCATGTGACTTGTAGCATAATGTCCATGTGACTTGTACCCTAATGTTCATGTGACTTGTAGCCTGATGTACATGTGACTTGTACTCTAATGTTCATGTGACTTGTAGCCTAATGTTCATGTAACTTGTAGCCTAATGTCCATGAGACTTGTAGCCTGATGTCCATGTGACTTGGAGCATAATGTCCATGTGACTTGTACTCTAATGTCCATGTGACTTGTAGCCTAATGTCCATGTGACTTGTAGCCTAATGTCCATGTGACTTGTAGCCTGATGTCCATGTGACTTGCAGCATAATGTCCATGTGACTTGTACTCTAATGTCCATGTGACTTGTAGCCTAATGTTCATGTGACCTGTAGCCTGATGTCCATGTGACCTGTAGCCTGATGTTCATGTGACTTGTAGCCTCATGTCCACGTGACTTGTAGCCTAATGTTCATGTGACTTGTACTCGAGTGTTCATGTGACTTGTAGCCTAATGTTCATGTAACTTGTAGCCTAATGTCCATGTGACTTGTAGCCTAATGTTCATGTGACTTGTAGCCTAATGTCCATGTGACTTGTAGCCTGATGTCCATGTGACTTGTAGCATAATGTCCATGTGACTTGTACTCTAATGTTCATGTGACTTGTAGCCTGATGTCCATGTGACTTGTACTCTAATGTTCATGTGACTTGTAGCCTAATGTCCATGTGACTTGTAGCCTAATGTCCATGTGACTTGTAGCCTAATGTTCATGTGACTTGTAGCCTAATGTCCATGTGACTTGTAGCCTAATGTCCATGTGACTTGTAGCCTAATGTTCATGTGACTTGTAGCCTAATGTCCATGTGACTTGTAGCCTAATGTCCATGTGACTTGTAGCCTAATGTTCATGTGACTTGTAGCCTAATGTCCATGTGACTTGTAGCCTAATGTTCATGTGACTTGTAGCCTAATGTTCATGTGACTTGTAGCCTAATGTCCATGTGACTTGTAGCCTAATGTTCATGTGACTTGTAGCCTAATGTTCATGTGACTTGTAGCCTAATGTCCATGTGACTTGTAGCCTAATGTTCATGTGACTTGTAGCCTAATGTTCATGTGACTTGTAGCCTAATGTCCATGTGACTTGTAGCCTAATGTTCATGTGACTTGTAGCCTAATGTTCATGTGACTTGTAGCCTAATGTTCATGTGACTTGTAGCCTAATGTCCATGTGACTTGTAGCCTAATGTTCATGTGACTTGTAGCCTAATGTTCATGTGACTTGTAGCCTAATGTCCATGTGACTTGTAGCCTAATGTTCATGTGACTTGTAGCCTAATGTTCATGTGACTTGTAGCCTAATGTTCATGTGACTTGTAGCCTAATGTCCATGTGACTTGTAGCCTAATGTTCATGTGACTTGTAGCCTAATGTTCATGTGACTTGTAGCCTAATGTTCATGTGACTTGTAGCCTAATGTCCATGTGACTTGTAGCCTAATGTCCATGTGACTTGTAGCCTAATGTTCATGTGACTTGTAGCCTAATGTTCATGTGACTTGTAGCCTAATGTCCATGTGACTTGTAGCCTAATGTTCATGTGACTTGTAGCCTAATGTTCATCTGACTTGTAGCCTAATGTTCATGTGACTTGTAGCCTAATGTCCATGTGACTTGTAGCCAAGTGTTCATGTGACTTGTAGCCAAGTGTTCATGTGACTTGAAGCCTAGTGTTCATGTGACTTGAAGCCTAATGTTCATGTGACTTGTAGCCTAATGTTCATGTGACT